ATAGATCATCCGTAATTAAAGAATCTACATGTACCTTGTGTATCAACATACCAACCGATCACTTTAATTACAGTCGTAAATTGTCAGCGAACATTTAAAACTTTTTTAATCCTTCCAACCGCGTTTATTCTTTTTTAAAGACACTTTACCTCATTGAGCTCAGAGATTAACAATTAAATCGGATTAAGGAGCTCGTTCACGTCAAAAGACCGAGACCCTCGTACAAAGGGCAGATTTTTACGAGTTTCCCCGGAACGTCGTTTTTAACGAGCACCGCGAAGTACAGAGCAAGCGCATGGCTATGAAATGCAAATATAAATTATACATTCTATACTCTTGCTGTATAGCCAAGTGCTGCTCCACTAAACTTAAAGCAAATTTTAAGCCACAGTGGTATATTACTGCCGATTAAAGTGCGCCAGTTCGTAGGCATTAGAGGCATTACGAGGTACCATTACGAGATTTACACTTTTTGCTAGGCTCAAGGCTGATCGTTAAATCATTATAGTTTAGGGTCCATAAATTTGAGCCGTAATATTTTACATGTTATTAAGCAATCAGCTCCAGATTATGCACAATTTAGTTCTGTACTTATTTTTACCTCATAAAAGTTCAATAGATCATTTTTATAAATCACTAAATAAGGGATCCCTTTACTTGTTCCAGACGTTTTGTTAATCAATTTTAGGCATATGAAAACAGCTCTCGTGAACTTTCAAAGATATCTTATTAGAAAGTATTTCGAATTCAAATCGTAAATCACTTATTAGATGAAAAGATTCAACATTAGCAATGATACTTTTATACAACTACACTTGCAGGTGTGACTGCACTGATAATAATTAAGTTTTATAATAATTTGGTTAAAAAAATATTGAGATATTTTTTTTAAATGTTTGAAAGTTAAAATATCACCATTTTTCGATTCACGAAAGTATAAGAGTAACAATTTCTTGTTCTCGACGCGTTTGAATTTCGCACGGTAATTTTTGCATTTGCAGATAATCCCGCGCAAACCAGCTTAAGCGTCCCTTTTATATTATTCAACTATAAGCGAGCAAACAGCCGATTTGTCTGCGCACGTGCACAGCTTAGCTTCCCCAATGATTCGGTTGTATACACGCTAATTGCAAATGTCCTGCAGCTGCCACCCCCCCCCCCCTTTTCTTCTCTCCTTGCTAAAACCCTGCCTTGCGTGTACCCCTCAGTTATTTATGTGCAACGTGTATTCGTATTTCGTACTTATATACAGTCATACACAAGAAACGAGGAGAGCTTGGAAGCAAATTGATGGAGTAGCGAGTTTGTGCGTGTGCGTGCCACTCAACAGGATGAGGCAAGAGGGTACAAGAGGGGGAATGAAAATACGTGAGTGACATTGTTTTGATAACCCTTGGATAAATATTTGCTGGAAGGTAACAGGATTTTTCTTTCTCTATTCGATACTTTGATTGAGTGGAATTATTTGAGTCTGTTGGTATAATAGATTTCCATTGTTTTGTCGATTTAACGAGGGAAAATTGAAAAGTACTTTTAGTTCACCAGTTTTTATGATGTCAAAAGTTATTTTTAAAATGAATTTACTTTTACGTAAAAAATCATACAATTTTTTTTGGAAAACATACCTTTAGTACGTGTTTAGTGCAACTGACTTTTCGTTTAATGAGAGAATTGTATGTATTACAAAAAATGTTTAAAAAAACCTAGTAATCAAACATAGATTGTTTGGCACGTATGTCAACATAAATAGTCTTGGATACTTTAATTTGTATTGCATATCGTTGCACTTGTGGAATAAATTCAGCGTATAAGATACGCAATAAAACAGAGATAAAGTAAATAAGATGAACAGAGGAGGCATCATACCAAAATATGGGTTATTTTATTTTATTTTATTTTTTTTTATTCAAATGAGCCATTTTAGGGTATTTTTCCTTTTTCTAGTGAAGACAAATTAACTCGTTGAAACTAGAGCTATGATCATATTTAAGTAATACATATCCTATAATGTAGTACCTATAGCACAAATGATGGATGATTGTAAAAATAAAGACCATAATTTGTATACACCATATTTTCCACCTGATGGTTTGAAATAGTAATATTTTTCGTTAAAAAATTGTAAAGATGTTTTTATTGAGAACTTTTGAAAGGTTATGTTGTTACCGAGTATTTTAGAAAGCTAATCTTCTTCACCTGGTAAAAAGAGTATGTTCTTCGTTAAGAAACTTGAAAAGTATGATCATTATCCAAGATTTCGCTATAATCTCTATAAGTGTCACCTGCCTTTATGTCGCATTAAAATTTTTTATTTTTTGTACAGCCCATAATACATCATAATAACTGTAAACTCATTATATAGTTTAAAAAGTGCAAAATTTTAACGTTTATTATCTTATGTTTATTAAGCAGTTGATAAGTGTTAGTGAAATGGTAAAACGCTTGCATGATATTTTCAAGAACCCGAGAAAATAAACTATTCATCACTAATAGTTTAAAAAAAGAAACAAATAAACAAAAAAAATTAAAAACTCACTTGTTCTAAGTAAAAATCATCCAGATGAACTTTTTGGTTTGTCAAGACGTTTGATTTTGCACAGAGCAAGTACACTTATTTTGAAATTAATAACTTACTAATTTATTAGTTATTATATGTGCAAGCTAAAAACTTTGCCTAATATACAAATGACGGGGTAGAGATCAATACTCGGTCCTCAGACCACTTAATCACAAGTTCTCCCCAGTATACCGTATGACTGACATAAACGAATATAGTTTAAAAAAATTGTGTACAATTGTAGAACATGATTTTTTAAACATCGAATTTTTATTATTTAGCCTTAATTTTTTTCTAAATGAATTAATGTGCAATTAACTGAAAATTAAATATTAATTTAATTATTAATAAGATTTTAAGTTACAACTTATAGTTCTTAAAAATCTGTTTTAAATTTAATTCGACTAACATACAGTCTGTTGTAACTTTGAATGATATTGAAAATAATTTCTTTCCTTATTTAATATTTAAAATCATTCGACAAGAGTAAACGTTTTTCAGACGTGTACAAATTATTGATTATACA